ACAAGGAGACATTCAGTCAGACAGATTGGCAGTCAGGCAGACAGATAGAGAGACGAGCGTGCAAGCATACAGATACATCAGACTAACATAGAGACAGACATACAGACAGAAAGACAGATAATGAGAGCAGACACACAGCATCTAAGACACAATATAATATTTTTTATAGCAATCGACTGCACTACTTACATTTGTCCATAAGTAGCGTGGATTACATAATTTTGTGTTTTGTTTTCAGAAAAGAATACGACAAGACAAGACGAGAGGCTCGCCGGACAGCGGGCCTCAACTGGCCGCAGAGACACGGTGAGGTAAGCAAGCCGGTCCGTCTGTCTGTGCATCTCTTCTTCCCGCCGGCGAAGGATGCCATTCACTTCGTCTCTTCTGCCTCACTGCCGTTGAGGCTGGTCTCCTCCAACGCCACTTTTTCCTTTTTCCGCTTTCCGCTTTCCGCTTGACTGATTCTGTTTGCTTTTCAGCCGCCCGTCGGTCCGTCGACTCCGCCGCCTCGGCGACAGGCAGCCGACAACTCGACTCCGACTTGCTGGCAGATGCCGGCCGATCTCGACGAGCTTCTCCGAAGTGACACTGCCGGTGAGACACTCTATCCACCCTTCGGCTCTGGGCATATTTGTTTATTAGTTAGTAGTATTAATGCAAGTAGTATAATGCCATTTGAACGAGAAATCCGGCTTTCCGCAACTTGGTCATATTGGCAGAAATGCGTAGAGCAAGACAGCGTGATCATGTTCACAGTCGGACCATGCTCTTGGTACATTGCCAGACGTTTCGACAGCATTGCTTGAGCGAATTCTGTCGAAACCTGGTGTCTCGCTCTCGTTCCATCACAACTTCTGGCATGTTCATATTCCACAAAACGTGTGCCCTTTTGGCGAACTTTGCTGACGCGATGGGGAATTGGCGAAAAGGGCGCATCTCCTGTCGAACGTGAACATGTCGGAAGGTGTGGTAGGACGAGGGCGAGACTGGAGGGTAGGAGAGAGATGGAGGGAGCAGGACAAGACGAGGAGTGAGAGCAGATCAGTCTCGACACAAAGTTGGTCGCGGGCATTGACTTCAATTATCTCTCTGACGAGTTGTAGAGTGGTTGCTGAGACTGGCAGCACTCGCTGACGATGCCAGCGAAGCGGCCGGGAAGGTACCAATTGCAAGGTCCGACTGCAATTGGTGATGCTTACAATCGACTCCGGACTGGGTACGTGCCTCGAGGTCATCTGGCCAATGTGACCAAGTTGCGAAAACAAGGTCAAGGGACTGCTGTACCTCGAAAGAAGATTGCGTCGCAACCGGACGACGAAGTCGAGACCGTTGATTTTTTTGTTGTTGTGGCGAGATCGGCGTGTGAATCGGGTCATTGCACCTTCAAGAGAAATAAACAGTGAGGCAGTGTTTTTTGTACTATTTTATCCACCATATGCAATCTCTCGTGGGCGTCATCTTATTTTGCCGGCAAAAAGATATTTCCGCTCGCAATTGACGCTCGCCTGG